GAAAGTGAGAAAAATGCTGGCCCTGAATTTTTAAGAATCCATTATCAGGAGCCCATGTATCAGGTTGGAGAGCACTCAAGTCAGATGGGGGGGGGGGGGCGAGGGTGGTGAGAGAGACAGAGACAAAAACTGTATAGAAAAGACTTCAGAATTTAAAAAACAAAAACAAAATAAGTATAAAACAATTTAAAATATTAATGTGCGGATATAGTTAAAGTGACTATGTACAAATGATACCATCTTACTGAATATACTGCTCCCTGTGTTTGTGTTCGAAGTCTCATCTGCTTGACTTACTGACAAAATTTTATACTATTTTTTATTCCATTAGTAAACTGCTGTAGAGAAGTATCTCGGGGTCTATTCTGGTTTGTGTGCCATGAACAGAATTGTTAACGAAATTCCAAATGCATCATTTTCACTACTGTTGATGATGGTTAATCCAGAAAGAATACAACACGACTCTCATATCACAACTTGAATTTGCAGAACTGATTCTTAGAAAAGTTGTCTTTTTATTTATAACCTGAGAATATTTGATCTGGAAGTCAACAAGAGATATTTATCACAGAACTCTGCAATTCCATTTTTATAGATCAGCTTTTCAAAATACAATTGCACTTTGAACCACTTACTTTCATTCTCTTCATAAATATGTGTTTTGAAAATGACACGATGACAGTGTCAAAATATCACAAAACATACTATAATGGAAATTACACTCTCACAAAAGTTTTAAGGGGTTACAAGTATTTTTTGTGAAAAATACATAGAAATGCAGAGCCATAGCATAATTTTAGACGAAACAGAAATTACTTAACTTTGTCATTCTCAGATGGCTGTATCTATGGTACAGCTCACCTCAGTATCACAGTCAGGAAGGGTATGTAGAACTAGACTCGCATTCACCTGCCTCACTGCTACCACAGAGGAACTGTCACAACTGCATAGTTAAGGTTGACTTTTGCCCTTAAAAAGGAATTCAACCTCTTTATTATGAATAATACAGTGAATCCTTCCTAAACTAACAGGTTACACGGAGTACTGAATGAATTTTCAGGGAATATACAAGTAAACGGTAAATAGCTTGAATTAATTTTTTTATGAGATTACAGGTTTGGTTGATGAAGGTAATAGGGTTGATGTAATATACTTAGATTTCTGCAAGGTGTTTGAACTTGGTACCGCATAATATTTTGATTAAAAAAACTAGAATATAAAATTAACATGGCATACATTAAATGGATTAAAAATTGGCTGATAGGGCTCAAAACTGTAAACAGGGAATCATCATTGAGTGGGTGTGTTTCATCAATGACCTAGGAAAAAAACAAATCATCACTGATAATGGTTGCAAATGACACAAAATTGGGGGAGTGGTAAATAATGAAGCGGACAAATGACTGAGTCAGAGAGATCTGGATTGCTTGGTAAACTGGGTGCAAGCAAACAATATGCATTTTAACACAGCTAAATGTAAATATGTACATCTTGGAACAAAGAATGCAGACCATACTGACAGGATGGGACTTTATCTTGGGAAGCAGTGACTCTGAAAAAGATTTGGAAAAATCAGTTGAACAGGAGCTCCCAGTGTGACACAGTGGCCAAAAGAGCTAATGTGATCCTGGGATGCATAAACAGGGGAATCTTGAATAGCAGTAGAGAGGATATTACATCTCTATTTTTGGCACTGGGAGAATGTTGCTGTACTATAGTGTTCAGCTCTGGTGTCCACAATTCAAGGAGGATGTTGATAAATTGGAGAAGGTTCAGAGAAGAGCCATGAGAAGGATTAGATTAGAAAACATGCTGTATAGATATCAGAGGGGTAGCCGTGTTAGTCTGAATCTGTAAAAAGCAACAGAGGGTCCTGTGGCACCTTTGAGACTAACAGAAGTACTGGGAGCATAAGCTTTCGTGGGTAAGAACCTCACTTCTTCAGATGCAAGAAGATGCCTTGCATCTGAAGAAGTGAGGTTC